AGCTCTGAGGCCCTGGCCTGCTGAAAGCATGTATCTAGGGTTTGTTTAGCTTCTATCATTGCAACTTTGTTGCTTAGAGGGGAGCTCAGAGCCCGGCCGCAGCAGGGAGGAAGCTTGGCTTCCTCCATCACTGGAGCAAGCAAGCCTCTTGCTCGCTTCAGCTGTGTGGCTGCCAGCCGCCATCCTGGTTGGTGGTTAATTTGCATATCCTGATTAGCCCATGGGAAGCATAGCGGAGGTATGGAGGTATGGTCAATTACCATGTTTGTCTATTATTAGATTAGATAGATTTATCTCTTTCAACACACTTTAAAAATCATTGATTAAGCAAAAACAAACAAACAAAAAGCATAGATGCAGACAACAGTCTGGTGATTGCCAGAGGGGAAGGGAGGTGGAAGAAGCAGGTAAAAGAGAGTAGGTGGGATAAATGGTGACAGAAGTAGATGACTTCAGGTGGTGAACGCACAATGTAATCTACATATGACATATTATAGAATTGCACACTTGAAACCTGTATAATTTTATTAACCAGTGTCACCCTAATAATTTCAACAAAATACTTTTTAAATCACTGATATATGGTTTTTGATTTGCATTAGTCTCCCATTGATGAAGCAGGCTCCTGCAGATATGACTTGTGTGTTCTCATTTCTGACCTTCAGTTGTAAAATAGTGATTAATGGTATCAACCACATGAATTATGGTGGAAATATACATACCAATAGAAGTGTGATTCTTAGGTTAGTGCCCATGAATTCATTATTATTATCATTATTATTATTATTACTATTAATTATTATTACTCTTCCTACTACTCACTCAAGGAGCTTCAAATTCATTTATTATATTCAATAGCCCTCAACATGCCCAGGTTACCTTTGTATTTGTATGGGAGAACTCAGATGTGAATTCTGATGTGCTTGCTATGAGGGTTTTCCACTGAATTTCCACCCGATAAGGATTCACAACTGAATAAACTTGGTCCTAAAACTTTCAATGAATGACTCAGTTTTTAGGTCACTACAGACTACCTTTCTCAGCATTTTAAAACTTGACTTTCTACATTAATTTGCAGAGATTCATTTCCTCAAAGCAAAGCTATCCCTCTATTTTATCAAGTGGATTCAGTGATGCCATGAAAAACAGCAAAAAATCAATTTTAGCCCCAGAATGTGTAATATTTCCCATCTTCACAATTTTTTTTTACACTAAAGATTAATAGAGCCAATCAAGGCATTTTTTCCCCTGGATTTTATTGTTTGCTTTTGTTAATCCTCACCTGAGGATATTTTACCATTGATTTTTAGGAAGAATAGAAGAGAGAGGAAAGACAGAGAAACATCAATGTGAGAGAAACACAATTGGTTGCCTCCTGCATGAGCCCTGATCAAGGCAGGGACCGAGGAGGAGTATGAAACCGAGGTATGTGCCCTTGACTGGAATCAAACTTAGGAACCTTTGGTCTGCAGGATGACACTCTATCCACTGAGTCAAACCAGCTAAGACTTTTTTCTGGATTTTAAAAACAGAAGAAAATATAGCAATTTGCTAAAAATAGACATTGCTCTGGGATGTAAGGACATGTACTATATGTCAAAAGCCATTTATCAGATTTGAATCTGAAGTATCAAACTACAAGCCATACAGATCCATACAACCTGAGCTTTTAAGAGTAAAATGTTGTACCGACATGAAATATAAATGTTAATGGAAGTTGTGAGCAGTATATACAAGTAAAGAGATTTTCCCTTGAGTCCATTGTGACTTTCAGGTAACAGAGCAGCAGTCCAAAGACATAACTACCAGGAGGATTCACAGTCCAAGAACCATGTCCCTCAGATGAAGCTTTTAATCCTGAAAGGGGAATGTCAACTGTATTAACCAGTTATAATGCTTTCATGCTTTTATGGTATGTTCTTCTGCATACCCTAGGTAAATAGTCATCCTTGGGAATGAGAAAGGGTGACATAATCATGTTCAGTTACCAGTGAGGAAAACTACGCCATAAGATCAATTACTTATCTAAAGCAAGTAACCAGTCCGTGGACAATCCGGGCCTCCTACCTAGATCTCTTAAATTTATCCTCCTTTTTTTTTCTATTATTCAATACTTAACACTTATTTATAGTATTATCATTTAAAATATATTTTTAATTACAATTTACATTCAATATTATTATGTATTCTCAGGTATACAACATAGTGGTTAGACAATCATATATTTTATTAAGTATCCTCCCAATATTGCAGGTATCCATCTGGCACTGTACATAGTTATTTCAATATTTGACTCTACACTGTGCTTTCCACCCTCATGACTATTCTGTAACTACCAATTTGTACTGCTTAATCCCTTCACCTTTCCACCCAGCCCTCCAACCCCTTTCCCCTCTGGCAACCATCAGTTTAAACTCTGTATCTATTAGTCTGTTTCTGTTTTGTTTATCCATTTACTTTGCTTTTTGGTTTCCACATGTAAGTGAAATCATACAGTATCTGTCTTTCTCTCTCTGACTTATTTAACTGAGAATAATACCTTTCAGGCCCAGGTGGATGGACCTGGAGGGTATTATGTAGTGTTGATTATTGATAGGGTGAAGAGAAATTTCAGCTCCATAGCATGACTTACAGCCATTCACTGTCTAACTCCACCCACCCATGCAGCCCTATCTGTGCTGCACACAACCTGACTGCTCCCTCTGCCCCAAATAGGCAAATTGTTCTCTCTGCCTGGAAGGCCGTTTTGTTTCTCATCCACCTGGGTAACATCTGTTCTTCTCTGTAAAACATATATTTATTTATTGGGTCTCTATGACAACCATTCTCTGTATGGGACAGTGAACAGACAATCGCTAGCAAGCAGACATTTCCCTTAATAGAAGATGACTTTAAGCAATAAAAAATAAAAAAAAGAAGAAGATGAATTTAATAGACTAGCAGTGATTTCAGGCACTCTTATGACTGGGGGAGATCATTGTAGCTGTGGGAACACCCTTGACACAATCTAGTAGAGTGGTGATCAAATTGGGCATCCCAAAAATTCCCAGAGGTATCTATGAAAATCCCTGCTTCTGGATTTCTACTCATCCAGTGTGGAGTTACCCAAGAACTTGATTTTTTTTTGGGGGGGGGGGATGTCTGTTATTTTAAGAATTTACATTTTTTAAAATACATACTTTGACTATTATGAAATGGGTGATTTATAAACTGCACTTGAATAAATGCTGATGTAGGAAAGATGGCTTGGATTGAATTTATTTAAGTAAATGCTTAAGTGACAAATAAACAATAATAATGCATGAAAGGCCAGAAGAATGTTCCAGACACAAAGTAAAGACTGATGAGGCCAAGAGCAAGAAATCCCATCACATTTCCAAACACTGAAATATCAAGTTATCTCTGCCTTAAAATAAAGATGGTGCTGAAGAGAGAAGCAGGGGCCAGGTAGAGTGGAGGACGACCCTGCATCTCCCCAAGGCTTTTTGCTCCCTGATTTCCATCACTCTTGTTTTATTTCACAACTAGTGACCCAGTGCATGGATTCATGCACATTGAAAGGAAATTAATTAGAAGGAATATTTTAATATAGCTATTCACCATTCTCTATAATAGAAGTATCAGAGATGAAAGAAAATTAGTAAAATGTCTATAAAATAATATATAAATTGATTAATAATTAAACAATAACATGATATAACAACAACAAAGATATAAAAACAACAAAACCATGATGTAAAAACAACATATGATATAAAAACAACATTAATAAAAACAATGACTGATAATTTGATTAAACTTACTCTAAAAACTCTCTGTATATCACATTAAGAGTAAAAACACTTTCAGAGTGCTTGACTAATTTCCCTTGCGATGAAGTATTTACAACTTTAACTTTAACGTCACATGTTCTTCGAACTGGAGAGAACGCAACATATAACTGACCAGGTCTTAAAACAGGTTCAGGTAGGAAAATTCCTATTCTGTCTATAGTTTGTCCTTGTAATTTATTAATAGTCATCGCAAATGCTAGCATCATGGGAAACTGTCTTCGCGTTAATTTAAATGGGAGGCCAGTGTCAGATGGGGACAAATCAATTCTTGGAATCAGAACAACCTCTCCTTCCACAGATCCTCTTAATACTTCAGCTTCGATTGTCAACAAAAACAACCAAATTCATGGTCGAAAATGACAGATCAAAACACACACATGCGATTGGCACCAGCAAGAGGTTTATATGTATCGTGCATGTCCGAGTCAACATTTATTTTTAAATTGCCAGTGAGGGCATCATATGCACCAGCCTGCCGGTCAGTCGGACAGTCAGATGGACATCCGGTCAGTCCCTTAGTCTTTTGTATATATAGATAATGTTAACAAGTCTGTCCTCCCGCTAGATGGGAAGTTTACTAGTATTGCTTTCCTTTTCAGATTTTCAACCAGGACACAGTGCCCAACACACAAAGTCAGTAAATAGTAAGAGACATTAATGAAAGAAAAAAAGTATCGTTTCTCAACATCATCAGTAATGCAGCCTAGTCAGGAATACTTACATATATCTCAAACTTCTTCCTTCTGGTCATTTATAATCTTACAGCATCCCCACTTCTGTATTCACACTCATGGCATGTTATGTGGAACTCTCTTTGATGAGGCCAAATCCTGACAAGAATGTGGTTAATATTTCTTACAGCTCTGCCCAGAGTGCGCTGGAATATCTGTCTTCATTATTCTCAGTATTTTGTTACCTAAAGCTCAGTGAACCCTTGAGATGGAATCTAAGTGACCATACAAGCTTTATGCTACATGTCACAGTGTCTTATGTTGGTAGCAACTCCATAGGCTTAGAGTTAGAGCCTTCACACCACCAAGAAGTGCCCCCCCAGTGCTGCATGACAGGCTCCTTTACTTTGGGGCTCAGGCTGAGGATCCCTCCTCAGTGGGGATTCCCTGGGACACCCCACTGCAGATCACAGCCTACTCCCCCAGCGTAATTCTCCAGCACAGACACAGTTGATTTCCTTTCCAAGTCATTTCCACAAAGTTTGTACTTGTGTGCGTGCCTGTGTTTGTTGTAATTATTGATTCACTTTTTATGCACCAGCCCAAACCATCAGTTTCATGATGAAAGTGTGTTTATTTGCTGACCACTAACTGCCTCTTTCCTAACATAGTATCTGGGTCATAAAAGTTGTTAAATATTTGGGGGGGATGAATGAGTCTGCATTGCACAAGGTCTGCACATGGTAGGTTTTCCATAACTCTCTTTAAATAAAAATATATACAGACAGATGGAAAGGTAGATTGGTAGATAGATGGCAGATAATAGATAAATAGATACTAGTGATAATGCAAGAAGTCTAAGAAACAACCGAGTCGACTGAGTAAACAAAA